GGGGGCTTTTTTTTTTTTTTTTTTTTTTTTTTTTTTTTTTCTTTTTTTTATGGCTAACGTCGGAATATACAATTTGACGATAAATTTGTACTGGATAAGAATTAAAAGCCCGAAAGCCTTCAAAACCTCAGCTCAAAATTATATTGGGCGTGCAGTATAAGAACAGCCCTTACAGTCCAATATGCCCTGCTGTCAATGGACGGACGGAGTCCTTTTCGCACAGTCGTAAACAAGTACTGAACAGAAGATACTTCCACCATCCTAGTAGTTACTTAACAAAAACTAGAACTTAACCTCCCCTATCTTGAAGACTGGGAGTAGTCTCTTTCTTTTCCTGACGTGCGACGGGTTTCGTTTCCTAGCATTTTCGATCGATTTTTCCTGCCTCTCCCCCATTCCCTCCTCGTTTGTTTCCCTAATTTGCATATTCTTAACTCGGTCCTACGCGGAGGATTTCAGGAACAAAAACCGACCACTTGCAGCTTACCTACCTTCAGGAATTGACAAAAACCCGTGTAAAATCCCAATCACAACCAAGGCTGAACAGTTATATTGACTCTGAACAATCGCACTGATTCCAAGCTTAGCCAATCAGAAAACGAAGGACAAATTTCACTAGCGAAGAAACGGTGTGCCCAGTTATCAATGCCAACCAATTACAATTGTAATTCCTGATCTGCATCTTGCGTTATGCTTGTTTGATTTTGAAATTACTTGTCCATACTTTTCCCAGACTTTTTGCCCAAATATTTTTCACACAAGAGGAGAAATTCCGTATCTCCAAGAGGCCATGTAATGTTCTATTTATTATATCAACAGCAATGAAATACCAACCAATTTTACTTTCGCTGCGAAAGGCGCCATTTATTAGGCAGCCATAACAACGGTGATCTTTTCACATGTGAAGATAAAGGCTGGCTTCCATATGATCGCAGACGATCGCGGATCGCGGATCGCAGATCACATGTAAAGATATCATGTTTCCACGCGAAAGCTCACCTGATATTTCATTGTTTTTTTTGTTTTTTTATAATAAAAGGTTTACTACTACTGTTACCACTGCCTCCAGTACTACTTTGGACGTAGTAGAATCTTTGCCGACTTCATTGTTTACATTTTTCCTTATTAACATACGACTTAGCGCAGAGAAGGGATCACGCTAGACGCGAATTGACTACAAATATTTTAAGACCTTGGGAAACCTAATAACTGGTAGCTACTGATGAAATTTTTGGCTCTTTGGGTGTAATATTCGAGGAAAAATTGGCGTTCAAAACATGCAAAATTTCTGGGCGGCAAAAGCGCTAATGAGCTCATACATTATTTGTAAAATTTTGTAGTCTTTGGACCCACGTCGCACAAAAAGTATTCAATACCTCGGGCTGAAATTTTCTGCGACAGTTAATCGTGCTGTGCCCTTTCAACATTCAAAAGTATTCTTTTGTAGCTCTATCAGAAACTGTATCGCTTATGCTAATGAGGTAAATATTGTAAACAAAGATTCTCCTATACAATACCAACCCTTACCAGAGAGGTTTTCACGGAATTTTTTTAATTTCCAAAGAAAAACCTCTCCAAAGTAACGCTTATTGATTATCAACTTCAAGTTAGCCTATCTAGTGAAATTGCAAAACGTTGACTTTTCGATGGTAACCCCTGCGTTAGAGCAAAATGGAGGAATGTGGTTTGTTTTTGTATGTATGTAAGAAGAATGCATGAATAATGGAAAGCGTTCATTGATCCCGTGGGGACCTAGGCGGCGCCCAGAAGCAAATTTTTGTTCTGATTTTTGACGACTTGTTGTGTCGCCTTGATGAAGAAACAATCAACATAGAGAGTTTGACTCGCTTGCCGACGCGGCACAGCAGTTTCTCTGGAAACTGATCACTTTCTTTTCACAAACCCCTCAAAAAAAAAACGTCGGTTCTGTTTTGGTGTACCTCTACACAAGATCTGACACAAAAGAACAAACAATCGGCACCACAGCTAACTAATCACTCTTAAACAAAGAAAATTCAAAGTTCATTTCGTGCGTATCAGTGTACGTGACAACCTAGCCGAGACGCGTTTGAGTATTTCAAGCCCTTTCCATGATAAGTTCTTTACCAGTCAGAAGAACGCAAAATGACCGTTTCCGTCGATCCAGCTCAGTTCACCGAAACTATAAAGAGTTTAGAGATTCTCCGTGGGAACATCGATCAACTGTTTCTAATGCTCATGGGCAGCATAATCTTTTGTGAGTACTTGAAACCTTTTTTCCACAAAATTCGTTCTTTAGATAAATTCTGTGCGTGGCTGTGGAACCTTAAAGTTCTGCTCCAACAAATAACTTCCGCAGTAAAGACCGTTCGTTATTCATATTTTGTTTGGCGTTTACAAGCGAACGTTTGACTAAAGTGATTAGCTTTTAACGAAACCGCCTTGTGCTGTATCGGTGAACAAGCAAAACCCTCAATAGCTACTTATAAACTGTTATAACATAATTGCTGTATATCCGCTATTGGAGCTAAGGGTGCATTGTGAACGTCTGCAAATTATAGAAGACCTGTTTCCAGATGTTTTGTTGCCATTAAGGAAAAAAATCAAGGAATAACGGCCATACTCGCATAAATTTATTTTGTTTACCTTTCAAAGCTTTAACCAACCCGATGTCTATGTTTTATCTTTGTTTTGGTATAGCGCATTAATACGCATGCTCGTTCATTTCTTTCAAGCGCATGCGTATTAACCGCAGCTTAGTCTGATCTAAATATTTTCGCTTTCGTGATCTTTTCATAACCGAATAGAAGATGTTGTTCCAATTGTTTCTAAGAAAACAATGCACTTTTGAGGCCTAGAAAAATTGCTGAACGCACTTGATTTTTTCCGCTCTTACGTCCACTAGCAGGTTTTAGTGCGCATTACTAGGAGACATGGAACACCATCTTTTGTTTGGTAAAGTCACCGCCTCAGCAAGTTTGTGAGGTTTCAAGCGTAAACCCGGCGTCAGCTTCACAAACTTGATCAACTTTTAAACATGTGACTAGCTCGCTGGTGAAGTTTAATTGTGCGGAAGGTAAACACAAAATCGTGTTCCTTTTTTATTATGTAAAACATGTTTCTGTACTGGATCGCTCAGTTCATTGCCACCATTGTTGGTAACACCACCTGTTGGAGAACAGTGAGGGACAGTCTGAAACACAGCGTACTCACACTAGCTGTACATCCCGGAAATTCAATTCCCAAAACATACTAACACTAAATGAACGTAACGCCGTTAGCCCGGCAGCAGCATGGATTTCTCCGTTTTAGCAACAGCAAAACACATGCACCCTGTGCAAGGCAAATGAAGATATTTTATCATTCGTTCGCTTTGTCTTACCCAGGTTAATTTGTTGACTTAAAAGCATCCCATAATAACTGAGAAGTTTGTTTTATCTGAGTTATACAGTGAAACCTGTATTAAGCGGACACCCTTGGGACCCTCACTAGTGTCCGCTTAATACAGGGTGTCCACTCAAAACAGGTTCTAATATGTTGTGCAATAGAATAGTTAATTATTAACCCTTTTGTAACACAGTGTAACGCAGTGTAAGATCAAAAACTAGCATAGCACAAAGTCCAGTCAATCTATGCAGCAATCTGGAATAATCACTTAGCTTTAAAACGACATCGCTGACCGATGTTAAAGGAGTCTCAGCTGAACCATTTGAAGTAAAATGCTCTTGAAGTGTCCGCTTATTACAGGTTTTGTGCAACAAAATGACTTAATATTGGTGTCCGCGTCCGCTTAACAGAGGTGTCCGCTGAATGCAGGTTTATTTACAGTTAGCTGTGGGAAAAAACTTTGGCACTTCAGCTGGCGTCCACTTAATAGAGGGTGTCCGCTTAATACTGGTTTTACTGTAACATTAAGGCTTTCATTTCCTGTCACCTGCACTGATCGTTAATTTTGCCTGAACGTGATTAGGTTGTAAGGTCGACCAGTCTCACTTAATTTGTGATGTCTTTTTTCTTGCAGTTATGCAGACAGGGTTTGCTTTCTTAGAGGCCGGTTCAGTGAGATCAAAGAACACAACAAATATCTTGATCAAGAATTTCTTGGATGTTTGTAAGTACAGCAGAATCGTCCTTTGTTTGTAAGTAATCACGCGTATCCCACTGCATGAGTTGTCCCCAGTCTTTGCGAATTGTATCTCGCTGAAAACGAGAGATACAGTTCAAAAAATTCGACATTTCTACAAACTTGGGTCTGATGTTATACTGATTTATACCTTTGGCTCATACTTCAGTTATTTATTTCAGTTATTGGTGCGGTGGCTTACTGGTTATTCGGGTTCGCCTTTGCTTTTGGAGCTGAAAGCAACAAATTCATTGGACACAAGTATTTTGCTTTGGCTTACTTACCTTCCGACCAGTACTCCTTCTGGTTTTTCCACTTCGTTTTCGCGGCAACTGCGGCAACAATTGTCAGCGGTGCCATGGCCGAGAGGACTGAGTTCAAAGCTTACCTTCTGTACTCTGTGTTTCTGACTGGTGAGTTTTCACAGAATTTCAAAACGTTTCGTGCTCTTTACAGTGACATTAACTTAGTGCTGGGGATTGATCTTCCCGTACGGTACAATCGTTTACTTTTTGTCTTTGTCAAAGTAACTCTGTCACGGTATTTTGGCCACTTACAAAATTACCTTTACATTAAAGGAAACCTGAAAATAATAGTTTACTAAGATGAAAGAACACAGCAGATATAGTAATAAACCATTACGAAACAAGGATGGTTAAGGATGGAGAGGATTGACACGGATTACAAACGACAAACTTGCATGAAAAAGTTAGGCAAAACTTTCCAAGGTGCGCAAACCGTGACGTAGCTCTTTAAAACCTGCTCCTTTGAATCCTCTTACTCTAAGTTTTCAATTGCGCGTGATACCGGTTTGGCCGACTTCAAAGAAAACGCTGTTGTTCTCTCGCAGGTTTTGTGTATCCAATAGTCACTCATTGGGCATGGGATGGAAATGGCTGGCTGGCTGTTGGTGTCGAATATACTAAAGACAATGTGACCATGTCTGTGACATACCAGGTACATAGCACTTGTATTTCACAATATGGCGCATGTATTTTGTCTAAAACTGAATAAGGCTCAATATTTGACTGGAATTCTGTCAAGCTCATTAAACATAAAGTATCTTACAGGTTGCATCCAACTGGGATTTTCCCGCCATTATGAACCGCGTCTGTCACAACTCTCAGTCGTTTCCCGCCAAAAATGTTGGTGTGAGATGATGGGCCGACGATGGCTCGTGTGTAAACAGTGTCAGTAGACCCAAAAATCAAGTCACTTGAAAGAGATTTCCGCCGATACTTCAAATAAATAAAATAGTTCCTCAGCAATGTCCTTGAGCTCGCTAATTTTTCTTTATGTTTTGGTAGGATTTTGCAGGTAGTGGGGTTGTTCACGCCCTTGGAGGTGCAGTCGCTTTAGTGGGAGCAATCGTTGTTGGTCCAAGAATCGGAAGATTTGTTAATGGTGCCCCTCAGTTGATGTCGGGTCATACTGTGCCGGTATGTATCGTATTCTAGGTTAATTGAGACGTTGAGTCAATTGGTTGGACATTATTCATCTCCCTCCGAAATCCTTTGTTTCGTGATCTAAAAGTTAAGCTTCGAAATGGTAATTCAAGTCAAACTAACTAAGTGGAAAATGTAGGTTAGTAATTGGTGAGATTTGATAGCTCTTTGGTGTAATATTGAAGGAGATATGCAAAATTTCTGGGTAGCAAAATGAGCCCATACATTCTTCAGTGAAGCGTTCTGAGATTTTAAACCCACGTCAGACAATCGTATTTATTATATCGTGCTCAATTTTCCTTGAGCAATTATTCGTATCATGCCAGCAACTGTAGCGTTTATGCTAATGATGTTGATATTATTCACAACGTTTGGAGCGTTTAGTGTAATATTTAGAACCAATCTACCCTCGGACAGATGCGTTTAAACATAAATGTTTTCCTTTGTGCTTTTTAGAAAGCAGCCCTTGGAGGATTCATCCTGTTCTTTGGTTTCCTGGCCTTTAATGGAGGTTCCCAGGCAGCCATTGCTAGTCCTGGTGACGCAGACGCCGTGGCCCTTGCCATTGTGAACACTGTTTTAGGAGGTTGGCTATACTTACCATGCATTCAAATTTCTTTCTCAAAGTTGAAGTATTTTAAACTGTAGTTCCAGTTTCAAGAAACTAATCGATGTGTTTTTCTTGTAATGCAGGAGCCGCAGGTGCATTGACCGCCATGATTATCAAGCGTTTGGGCTTTGCGGATAAATACTGGAGTTTGCTTTTCACCATCAATGGTGGACTTACTGGAATGGTATGGCTACCAAACCCTGGGTTATTCCCAAAGATCTTTTCTGGGTGGTTTCTCGCGAAGGACAGGGTTAACGCCCTCTACCATTGTTCCCATTCTGTGGCTGTAAGCTTACCCTCACATCAGTTACGTCGCCATTTTCACCCACATCTCACAACTTCATCGTTCTCGCATGCTTCAGTATAGTCTGTTTTAACTCTCGTAAATCAACCCAAGATGCGCAGCTAGGGTTACCGGGAGGGGTCAAGGGATCGGCACGCCTCAACCCCTGCCCCCCCCCCTGCCCCACCCCCCATTCGCAGTGATAAACATTCTCTCGGACCCTAAGACGGGCTGAAAGTAATCTAGAGCCAAAAATTTAACGTTGCGATACGTCGAGCAGTTAGTTGCCTTTTAGTCTATCAATAAACAAATTGATTTAAGTACAAAACAGCGACTTCTATCGTAAATAACAGAATTAAAGAAAACAAATAATAATCACATTCTAAAAGACTAAAAGTCCAGCATGTTGCGAGCGTGGAACAAAGTAAAAATCTTGAGTCCCTGATGGAATTCTAACCGATGACCTCCCAAATATCGATGGAGCACTCAAACCACTGAGCTAGGAGAGGCTCGTATTGAGCTAGGTTATTGATTAGGTTCATATGTTCGCCTTCTTCTTTCAGTCCTTTCTTGCCAGAAGCATTTTCACGCACACGCTTGAATATCAAATGATTCTAGTCAGTGTGATCTGTCCTGAAAAGAATATGGTGTTAATACTGATTTAACTCGTCGGTGCATATGTTTGTTTCATAGGTGGCTCTGTGTGCAGGCTGTAATGCTGTCCATCCTTATGCTGCTTTCGTTATTGGAATCATCGCTGGAATGGCATACGTTGCTTGGAGTACTCTCATGTTGCGTTTAAGGGTTGATGATCCTCTGGATGCTGTGGCTGGTAAGTGACACCAGAATTCTAATATCGTAGCTGGAACTCTTAGGCTTCTCAGTCCACTGTATACTCAAAGTAGACCATATTGTTTTAGTGGCTGCCACAAGCGTTAGCTGACATATTTTAATTTGTGGAATTGTTTTACTCCGCAGTTCATCTCGGTGGTGGTATCTGGGGAGTGCTGTCTGTTCCAATATTCAACAAGGAAACTGGAATCTTTTATTCCGGTAACGAATATTCATTCCGTTTGTTTGGATGGAACCTGCTGGGAGTGCTTGTTATCATTGCCTGGTCTGTCGTACTGTCTTCCATCTTGTTTATTACCTTGCGCCTCACTAAACAGCTCCGCGTCAGTGAAGAAATCGAGTTGAAAGGTGAGTAGCCTGGTTTTCGCGATTTCGTGGCAGCATCCCCAGAGATACGAGTCGGTGACGTACTGCCAATCACTGACGCATTAGTCGCAAGTACTAGCACCAAGTCTGTTTTTTCTCCTGGCGCCGACTTTTCAACATCTTCTCAGTCTGTGTATTAGTTACATCCAAAATTCCTAAATCTACCTCACACTGTACCAAGTTATAACTAAGATGGCTGTAGTCTGTCGGAAACGATCCATTCGTGTTACCTGCCAATTCACAATGCTCGACTAAGGCAGCGAAATTCTTACGCTGTGAAGGGTCCAGTTTACACCTCAAGCACGGCTCATATTGGATTGCGCCGCATAGCATGAACAAGCTTTAAAGAAGCTACACCACTCATTTAAATGCCTCGATAAATCTACCCTGAATGATCTAAGTTTGTCTGTCGATAGCAGACTGACATCGTAAGCCCCCACCGTCTTTCTCCTTTTCATTCCAACATGGATTTATTCCTCTTCTGTCATCTAATCTCATCGAAAAACTTACTCTAACTGGCTCATGATACGATTGATCTTTTTTTAATAAAAGAAAAATTGACCTGAGATTCCTCTTTATCCTAGGTCTTGACATTCCCAAACATGGTGAGCCCGCGTACCCACTGTCAAGTTATGGAGACGGTTGGGGATCTGGCGAGTCCCCGGCAGCAGGGAGACAGAACTTCCCCTTCACCGCCCAGTTAAATATAGTTGGTCCAACCCAGAACGGCCACAGCCCCGCCCCAGTCAAGAACGGTGCACCTGTTCAAGAAAAGGGCGTCTCTAATCCTGGCCTCGTGGTCAGTGACGTCCCCCCGAGCACGGACACAGCTTTTTGAATAACACTTTTCCAATAAACATCCCAAACTGCTTATTTAATTTTCCGTTAGAACTGCACTTGAGAAAGACTATACCACTTTGACAAGGTATCTTTTGTGCTTCGGTTGTAAACATTTCACTTGAAAATTTTGTACATATCTAGTAAACCGCTTACATCTACACATGTTATTGTTATGTAGGGCTTGTTTACTTTGCAGGAGAAATTCCTGGGACATGCTAAGAAAAGATAGCAGTAGCTAGATAAAATGAAGGAATAAATTGTAATTAGTTGAAAGGCCGAGGCCATATCTAAACTGTTATATATTGTCGGAAACAGTTATTGTCTATTACAGCCAGGCTGAATGGCTTACTCTTCGCCTTCATTTAGTTAATATTTTCTCAGCTATTTTATCACAACGACGGTGCATAGCCGAAATAAACGTTATGTTTGTTATGATGGTAGCAATATCCACGATCCAAGGACTACTTGCTTTCGGTGATCACGTATCGTACGTGTCGTACCCGTGTCGTACCCAGTCTTCGTGGAGAGCGTCGTAGGAAAGGACTGGATATGAGATAAATAATGAATTGTATTTTTAGTTCTTCTGATTAGGAATTTGCTGGTCGCCATCAGTTGTATTTATAAATTACCAAATTAACAAATAAATTTTGTGTGGCATTGTTTGTTCAACCTGTATTCGCTTGCTTAGGTAAAATCCACCTTTTAGAACAGAAAAAGTAAATGATAATATAACATGTGCTACAAGAAAAATGCGCCAAGACTGCGATGCGATCAATACTGATTACCAAGAGATTATCAAGGTAAGAGAGGGAATCCCCCAAATAGGCTTATACCTAAGGTAATCCCTCTTAAGTTATTGTTACACATGGTGCCCAGTGCTTCCGAGGATGTCACTCCCGCGATGCGTGCACAACCCACGCGACTTTTTTTTAACTAGCTGAGACGAAATGGCGGGAAATTTGGTGAAGAGACGTCTCATAGCACAGATGTTTTCTGCACTCCTAGCCTCCTTTTTGATCGACTGGGCTTCGTTTGCTTTGTGCTCTTTTGGCTGTTCATTCAGTTTGCGGAAGCAAACCACAAAGCAAAGGCAACGCGTACAATGGATGTTTACGCGTGCGTTATAATTCTTTGAGCGTGGACTGAAATTTTTTTCACCCCTAAGAGGTACCAATTCTAAAACAACACATTATCTCCTGTCATATTTTTTCGGTTCAATACCCTAAAAGGTTTCGCAAAAATCCCCGCTGTTTAACCCCTAAAAGGTACGACGAGTACCCCCGTCCTTTTTATATGGGAGTCTCCCCCGGGCGGGGGGGGTGGGTGCATAGGTGCTGACAAAACATAACTCAGTAACACCAACCAACTTCCTGGTATTTCGAACTGATTGACATTTCCTTTTCCCTAAAGTAAATCCCAGTCATTTCAATTCCATTGGTAGAGTTAGACAAACTGCATCATAATATTTGGCCACAGAACACAAGCAGCTGAGCTACTACAATCCGATCAGTGTAAAACTCAGACTGCAGACCGGGGGCAAAATGCAGACCGGCAGTAAAGTGCAGACTGCAGACTACAGCCTTTTTAGTGTATATTTATCGTATCGCTTCCAATATCAAGTGCTAATCGTACGCAGACTAACCTAGGCGTTATTCAGGCTAATCGCAGTGAAAATTAGCCTGAATATCACTCAGGTTGGCCTGTTTACGGTTAGCTCTCAATGTTGGAAATAGTAGCACGATTCAGTTAAAAAGTCTGCAGTCTTCATTTAACTCCTGGTCTGCAGTGTGTAATCTGCAGTCTGCGTTTTACCACACTGACCGACTACTATCTGGTCTTTTAATAATCATTACTTTTAAATCACACGGCCGAGGGCGAGCGTGGTTCTTAAAATGAGAACGCTTTTTTTGTCGCCTAATTTAAGAACTGGTTTTTGAGTTTCTTGAGTTGTAATTTTATGACGAACTGGTTGTAAAGGGGCGGTGAAATGTATAGAAGAATAACAAAATTAGCCGCTGTGATAAGTTGAGTTTTTATAATATTGTTTGTGCGATTTTTCAAGTGTTTTCTGATTCTTTTCTTTGAGTCAGAATAAAAGTTTTAGTTCGAAATACAGCGATGTTGTTCATGTCGACGTCACGAGCTCTGTCAAGATGACCGCGGTTTGTGAAAAGTGAGAATAACATGTCCAAGAGAGTTACAAAGGTTAGCGTTCTTTAATCAATGCTCCCTTCACTCTTGTGCGAGGTTTCGGGCTGAATATTGCTCACTTCACTAATTTTGAGAAAGTCTTTCCAATCGCATCGTTTATTTTTCGTTAAGGCAAACATGAAAAAAATTCCAAACGACTGTATTGTGTATTGTTTATATCACGCAGTATCTGGGAGGTTCCGCCGGGAGGTGCAACAGCTTACCCTTTTGTTTACAATTTTGACAGAAAAGTTACCCCGTTCGTATACCTCTTTAAGAAGAGTGCATCGTTTTTCTAAAGCTTTGGAACGAAGTTAAATGGGAAAATATCAAGCATTACCAGAAGACTGATTTTAATAATAAAAAAAAAGTATTATTTGCTCAGTTCACGTTGTGGCGGGAATTAAGATACTCCGATTTCCCTACCCATTCATACACTTCAATTTGTGAAATCCCTACCTTTTTATATACCTAAAACTCGAGAAAGGTACGCTTTTCGGGTGGAGTCTCCCCTTAGAGATCATTATAGGGAGTACTCTCCCCTTGGGGCTTAAGCTCGGGAATTTCGTCAACTAGTAAAGCAAAATGAGTTTTGGAATCGGTTAGCATTTTCAGAGGAATATAGGATACTGTAAAGAGATTTAATTGAATAAGAGGTTTGGCGAAAAATCCGTGAAAATATTAGACTGCGTGACGTTCAAGTTACCGTGACTTCTTGTTATTGTTGTTGTAGTTGTTGTTGTTGTTGTTGTTGTTGTTGTTGTTGTTGTTGCTTTTTCACGGAAAACAACATTTGATGCGTTTTCAGAATGAAAACGCTGTTTTCACATTTCTCTGGCGTAGTGTGGACGAGGATTAAGTTTACTGATTTGTCTCTGACAGAGCTTGCTTCCAGGCTAGGGTCTTTCTAAATTCACCTCGCTTAAAGACAGGACGACCCCAAAAAGATAATCAATTAATTTAGCCAATTAATTGTCCTTTGCAATGTGATTGGACCAGAATATGAGGTTGTCGGAATAATAACAGGTATGAATGAATGAATGAATGAATGAATGAATGAATGAATGAGAACCTTATGACGCAGAACACTGTCTTTTTGTTCTCCTCTTTGGAGTTTGGTGACCTTGAATGACCATCAAAAGGCCGCTTTCGCCATGGCCGCTATGTTGGTTTCATTATAATACAAATCAATTATTCATAGAAACGTTATTTCTACGAGGTAAACAGTGTTACATCAAGAGATTTCGAGCAGCTGGGTTCTGTTCTGACCAATTTATTCCAACGAAAACCTGTTTACAATATTGAAGTAAATGATATGCTTAGAGTTAAAACTTGTGCGTTGCTTTTACAGCAAAAAAGAAACAAAAACAAAAACAAAAATAAACAACTTAGTAGTTGACAATTCAGAGTATATAAAGGAAACTATTTCTCTGTCATTTGTCTGTTGCACTCCTAAACATTTAACAGTTGATGTTTTCAAATCAGCCATTTTGATTCCTTGTGTGTTTGTCTTGAGGGACCGCATGGATAATTTGCTTTATAAAACATGAAATTATTGTTGTGAATACATCCCATCACAATACAACAAAATGCAATTTTTTTGCCACATAAAGTACACTTCTAATAAAGTACCGTCGGGTTCTGTCTGTGGTGGAAATTTTGAGTTCAGGCCTTTTATGTGTATTTAGTTGTAGTGGTGTTGACGTGATCTTTGGCTTACAGTTTCGTAGAAACGTCCTGCTGCGGATTCTGACGAACTCTCATTGGTGGATTTCCGTGGCTCCCATTTCTTGGACTCTTATGGACACCACATGCCTGTTGACATGAAGAAGGCTTTGAATCACTTCTGCTCTTGATGCTTCGTTAGGTAAAGGACAATATTCTAACTAGTTACATGTATATCGTTAGAAACGAAGAGGACTAGAGAACATTGTCAAGCAGAAAGTGAGGAGAAAGTCTGCATCTAATTGTCGTATTGATGTATCGCCAAACTCTTACAACTAATGGTCAGAGAGACGAATGGGAATTAGCAAAGAGAATTTATACCTTGAACTCGATACTGAAAGGATCGATTTCAAAACACGCGGATCCATGTTATTGAAACCACAAACTAGAACAAATTTCTCTGAAGAAATCGTCGTTTGCTTGTTTACTGTAGTTAGCTGAAGTTGTACGTCTTGAATCTCGCTATTTGAAGTCAAATTCAACAAGCACTAATCTACACTCAATTCTTGCAGCAGATCAATAAAATTTTGACTTAGTGTCGTTTCGCGCATTCAGCCCGAAATGTCTTGAATTTCGCCAGATTTTGCTGTTTGATTACAGTCAAATTTGACTCGTACACTCTAAAACAATGCAGAAAATCGTTTTACAGCAAAGTTCGAAAATTTAGTGTAGGAATTGCGTATTCCGTGACGTTTCGATAACATGATCTTTTTTCTTTTTTTGCTAGCCGTTCAACTCAGCTTAGGTGTTTTAGAAAAACTTTTCGTTCGCTTGTTCACCGCGAAGTCAGTCGGAGTTGACTACGATAAATTCGACATGCACTAACTAGACAGAATCTTTTTAATAACAAATTTCGAAAGCTTAAGAGCTAGTGTATAAACTTTATATTCCGTGCGTTTTCAATTAACAACATGGATCCGCATATAATTTGTATCCAGCGCTTTTAGAACTTAGAGCAAATATTTTTGAAAAGAAGCTATCAATAAAAAAATTCAAAATGAGCCAGTTTGAATTTCGTAAAAATAGGATAATTTTTTTCACTAGCCTGTAGTTTTAGTTTCGATTACAATTTCACATTTTGCGATTAGTTTTGCCAGAATTATTTTTATTTCTGCTGATCTTTGCAGTAATTTTAGATGTATCAGAGTTACTGTTTCTTCGATTGAGCAGTTTTGTCTTATTAGTGACTACAAATAATCTTCAGACTTCAACATTTTACAACTTTAAAATTCTGTACCAAGTCAAGTGTTGTAAACAGGTTTCTCTTAGTAAAACTTGTAAATTAAAAGCAGTAATGGTAGAAAACAATAAAATATTTTACAACTATTGTTCGCTTTAATTCTCTTTTGTCCTTTTGTTTTACAAAGGAATTTTAAAAAAATATTGCGCTTTTAAAGAGGGCCTGGTAATTAGAAGAAATGTGGGCTTTTACTGTTTTTTGGCCATGTAGCGTTGCCAAAAAGAAAAAACTTCCGCACTTTTGAACAGAGTCTAGCCAGAAATGAAGCATATACTTTGACTTTTGAAGGGACAAATCTGTTACAAAGTGCAAGATTTTTCCCGCCAAAGGATAATATATTTTTGCCTCAAACACCAGACACCATTGAAAAGTACAGACTTTGTTTTCTAAAGACAATTTTCCCGCCAAAAGACTTAGCTTTTTCTCGACTTTTTTGGTTTCTTTAAAAAGCGCAATATCGCTGAAAAAGAAAAATTTTCCCGCCAAAAGACTTAGTTTGTTTTTGCGACCTTTT